CCATGGCCCCACCCGCCGCCTGGAACGCCTTGTACGCGCCGACCAGCACCGCCGCCCGCCCCGTCGAGTTGGACTGCGCGCCCACGAGCCAGTAGCAATACGACTGCCACAGCGAATCGTAGGCCCCGTATAACACATACAGCACCATGGGTCCGGCGGCCGACGTCGTTGCGCCGCCGTCCGCGCCGTCCGCGCTACCCGGCACGCCCTGTGCGTAGTCGACGTCCTGCACGTGGCCCCGGGCCCGCCGCGCGTCCTGCCACCGCTGGAACCGGTACCCGCCGCCCCAGATGGCCATGCCCGTGACGAATAGGACGGCCCAGCCGAGGCGGGCGCGCCCGGGGCGGTCGAGCGTGGGCAGGTCGAGGAGGAGGCCGATGAGGAGGCCGCCGAGCATCTGGGCGAGCCAGTAGAGGGCGCCGTTGAGGGAACGGGTGCGGAGGGTGAAGGTCATGCCGTTGACTTCGTTTTGCTGGTACGAGTAGAAGACGTTGGCGCAGAAGAAGAGGGGGAGCATGCAGGCGACGCGCCAGGTGCATAGCGTCGTGGTTGTCATGGTCAGGAGACCCTTGGCCCTGACGGCGAAGCCGGAGTTGGGCCCGGAGGCGTGTGAGCGATTGCTAGTCTCCTCCGCTTGGGCTTCCTCCGCCTCGGTCACGGCGCTGAGCTGCGCGAGACGGATGCGCTTCGGGGAGCAGATGAAGAGGCCGAGGCCCCAGCCGAAGAGCATGACGGCCATGAGGGCGATGTAGGTGGCGTCGTTGACGGTGCCGGTGGAGGAGGAGAAGTTTAGGCCAAAGGCGGCGAGGCTGCCGACGCCGCCGCCTAGGTTGAAGATGATCCAGAAGACGGCAATGGCGCGGCCTTTTTGCGACTCGTGGACGTAGGTTGTCATTATGGCGCCCTGGACGATCCAGATAAAGGAGGAGCCGATGCCGAGGATGGCGCCAGAGGCGATGACAAAGGTTCCGTTTGCAGTGTCTTTGGGGTTGATTCTTTTTAGTATTCCTCAGGGAGATAGACGGGATCATAGGGGAGGGGGAAACGTACGGTTGAAGTGTAAGAGACTTCCGCTATAGAGGGCGTAGGTCCAGCCTCCAATGAGAAACGCGACCTTGGGGCCTACGAGAGACAGGATCGGGCCTACGATAAAGAGGGACGCCACGGCCGTTGTGGAGAGGAGGGCGACGGTTGCATTGGCTGCTACTGTTGAGTCGACTTGGCCGGAGCCTCCTAGGCCGGTGAGGGCGTTATACATCTGTGTGTTGGTTTTCTCGTCAGGATTTCATGATCTCTCAGTCTCATGAAAGGAAGTTTACTAACCCCAGGAAGACAGAAGCAGATGAAGCTTATGAGGATGATTCTGGGGGCACACTTTAGCGGGTTGCGACACACGAGGGTAAATTTTGTGTGGGTCCTACTGTGTCCACGGGTTTGAGTACAGCCTCATGAGATTGAAGCTCTTCCCGTCCTCGAGGTCATCCCGAAGGCCGGGTCCAGTGTGTGACGCATCGTCGGGCAGCTCTCGAGGTACCTCGGCAGCCATTGTCGATATCCTAACTCGTTGATGGATAGGATGATGATGTTTCTCCTCGTTCTCTGTGAACCCGAGTTGATTATGTATATCTTATTGCAAGTTGCTTTGATTAATACTCTCCAAGACTTCCGACCATTGCAACATGTCCCTAGCACCCGATACATCCAGAGGCAGCATCGAGATAGAGAAGTAGGCATGAGAACATGGCAACGTTGAAATTGAATATCTGACAGATGCTTGGCTTACCCCGCTCTTCCTATCTTCAAAGGTTTTCCGCCAGAGTACCACATGGCTAGCAAGCTCCCGTCATCTTTTTCTTACAAAAGATAACTTAGTAATAGCTTAATACAGACGAAAGAAGATAAGCTGGGGATCCTCACTCTTCTTCTCCACATTATCCAGTTTTTCTCTTCCACTGGGTTAGAAGGAAACTAAGTGTATCCCACAATTATACTGAGGGGAGGGGAAGGAGTCGGACAATAGTGTGGGTGAGTGCCTGGTCTGAGGACCTGAGGTCGGATTCGTGAAATGTGATTCGTCCATCAACCCCAAAGAGGAGATCAAGGGAAACTGGGTCTGCCCCAGCTTTCTTTATCCGGCGCCACCCGCCGGCACGGTCCTCAACGACAAGGATCTTCCTTGAGGCTCCGCTCCGGCCCTCTTTCTTCTGGCGTCGTTGTATCCGTGCACCCGTGGGATGCCCCGTTGCCGCGCCGATGTCTCCGATGGAACGTGACATCTGGCCTCGGAGGTACGGACAGCACACGGCTCCGATCCAAGGCGGGATGTCGCGGTGTTCCGATCTGACCTTGCATCGAGATCGTTCATGGCCGACGAAATGGTTCAGAAACTGAAATGACGTCTAGTAAAAGTGCTATAATTACCTAGTAGTGAATGAGAAAGTATGCCCTCTTGCGTCGTGGTGACTACAATCCATCCATTACAAATTACCACATTCAAACTTGTCAAAAGCTCGCACAAGATTCGACCGCTACCTGGGACTATTGCCGATGCACCCCGTCAATACTCCATAGCAGAGGGTCACTTTGACATGCGACCACAATGAACGCGACAAGAGAAAAAGAGTTCACGTTCCATGAGGTCCGGCGGGGCTGGAAGGAACGACCTACAACATCGTACATGAAGTGTTGTGGGGGGGGGATATAAACCTTATCGAATTACTAAAAGGAACTATGTGTCATCTCAAGGCCCTGAGTGTGCTTCTTAGACCGGACGGGGTATACGGAGTACTGGAACGTTACTTTGACGCAAAGATTGAATGGAGATCTCATGCAGGCACGGACACGATCTCCCCTCAAGAGGCAGAAATTACAAAAAAGGAGGAATTACTACAAACATTTAGTAAACCAGGTTCATGACTCTTGCTTTCCCCGTGGGGAACATCAACGTCAACTTCAACGTCGCATTTGGAAATCTGCACCCCACAATTTGTGCATTGTTCAATGACACTGAGCTAGTGTAGTTGCAACCTAGCGTCCGTTGAGACCACCCACCCGAGGTGCCGGAGGTGGAAGTGAGGTGGTCCCGTCCCTTCTCGCGCCGCGTCCGGAGCCCTCGGGCCCGGGCACCCTCACCAAAGATCAGAGTGCCGCTCCGTGGGGTAAGTCTTCGTCTGACGTCAAGTCACGGTGCTTTGAAATAAGAGACCGGGTGAGACGCCTAGAAACGGCGAAGAAGCCGGAGTTCTCTAGACCAGGTGTAAGGCTAGACCAGCATCGCGCCTGTAGGATCTGGATAGTTCTATGAAGTTGACATCTTTTGTCTTCAGGTACCCTCCAGACTAAAACGATTTTGGTCCATCCGCTGTCTTCGTCGCATCCCGTAGTAGAAAATACCGACGCTTTCATTGCGTGCCGCCCCTTCGCTACGCCCTCGTATGCAAGCCTCCACGCATGCGCCTCGTCAGATCAGTAACAAGACCACTTCTTATTTCCCGCAAACGTTCCAAATCGTTAGGGCCAGGCATGAAGGCCCTCTGAGACAGGGGGAATTTGCATCATGGCACGGGGTTATATCCTCAACGTATAATTCCCAAGAACAAGTTCAATAGACAGTGTGAGCGTCATTCCATGTACATGCTTGCAAACGGCGGATAAACGCTTCGCAAACCTCCTCAACCCCAACACACACACAACAACCACATGCGCCGGGCCGACGGCAATCTCCAGCCGGTACGGAGTACTGCGTTGCTTCTTCCGCGTCGCCGCTCATTGGTGGGCAAATCTCGACTCTCCTGGGGGGCCGTTTCGGCAAGCGATGCTATTCGCTGATATGCAAAAACGACCCTGTTCGAGATATCCGGGAGGGGGGAACATAAGTACCCTGGGCTCTTTGCGGAAGCGAGATGTGTGTCGGGTTATCAAAGGACGAAAACCTATCGTCTATATCCCCATGATTATGATTGATTCTTTTGTTTTGTTTTGAACGACTAGGGAAGCCCATGTGCTAATGACCATGTCACTGATTTGGGCATTGGAACATCGGATTCTGTGATCCGAAATAGAGGTTTGCCGAGCAAGGGGGAGAGGTCATCCCTGCGCCCCTACTACACGTGGGGAGGTCACGATGAGATTCTGTGCCAGTTGTGAGCCTCAGACTTCCGTCCCTATTCACACAAAGACGTAAAGGTTTCGCACAATGGATTCTATTCAACATCCAAGATCTCAAGCTGGAACAAAGAACATGTACTGCAAATAGCTTCCAGGAACCAACTGAACAAGAACGATGAAGAACGGCACTAGTGATACAAATAGCCCATGTCCTCCAGCTAAAATCTAGTAGCCTCAAATCCCAATCAGCCAAGCATCTCCGAACATTAACACGTGCGCCTCCAAAAAAGGTCAAAATGCGTCAAGGTACCCAAACAACAATGTCCTGCGGCCACACACTCTCCTCCGGCCCAATCGACCGTGACAGCGCGCAGTACCAGCAACAGCCCCAGCCCACCTTCCTCAATGACAGCTGCGCCGCCTGCCACCGCCCCGCAAGCTACACCCAGAACCGCGCGCGGCACGAGGCCGAGCACGCCGTGCTGATGGGTGAGTACATGCGGGCCGACGCCGCCGGCGACGAGGACGGCATCCGGCGTGCTCGGCGCGCCATGCTCGAGCACACGCGGCTGCTGCGCCAGCGGAACTTTACGGTGAGTTTGGTGAGGGAGGAGCCGGGCGGGGATGTTGAGTGGCCTGGCTTGCCTGCTCTGTGAATGACATCGTCGAGGTTATTGGTGATGGTGTGGATGGATGGATAATCTTGGTGGAGGCCGGTCGGGTCAAGAAAAAAGTTGAAATGAAATTGCAGATGGGGGTATAGATACAAAAAAACTTCAAGATGCCCTCTTCAACGAAGTCCCTTTCTTAAACCTCAACAATGAGCTACAAGATGAAAACACTACCCTCCCATAAACGATACGACCTCTAAGTCGAACATCCCTCTCTTCCCATCACCAAGGCGGAGAATGCTTTGGCAACGCCCCAAGCCGCACATCGCTTGGGCCCATGAACTGCGCAACATCCCACGCCGAAGGCACATACGACATCTGACTTTGGTTCTGGTTCGGAGAATCCTGCCGGATCTGCTGCTGGCCAGTGTTCCCCTTCTGCGCCTGCACCTCCTTCTTCGCCTGCGTAAACTCCTTGACCCTCGCCGTGCCCAGCTTGCCGGCCCTTCTCTTGTCCGTGGGACAACGGAGCAGCGGGACCTGAATGACGGCGGAGAAAATGTCCCTGATTTTCTGTTCCGGTTGGTTATGTCGCTTCGCTACCTCTTGAAAGGGAAACATGTTCAGGCAGGTGTCTGCGATATCGACAATGATGTGTTTGGTCGTCGGTTGCGTGTCGGGGACCCTGTTTGCTTGCGGTTTCGAGGCGGTTGCTCCCCCGGCTAGTTTGAATGGTTGGGTGGGCGGCTGTTGCGCAACGTACGCCGGTGTTTGCGGGACCGGCGAAGTAGGTCCGAGATGGAACATGTGTCCCGCTGGCTGTTGGGGAGGAATCCCGGCACCGAGATGCGGTTGTTGTGGGTGGACTGCAAAGTGACCAGCTGGTCCAGCCATTAAAGATTGTTGCAGGAGCGGGTTGTACATGGCTCCAGCCATCGCGTTATGGTACGGGTTAAGTCCCAAGAGGTTTGTCCAAGGCTGTTGCACAGAAGACGGCGGGAGAGGAGCCTGACTCGTGGTGGATGTAGTTGTTCCGTTTGGCAAACCTGAGTTGACTGCCATGTTGGCAGCCTGTTGCCTCAGCCTCGACTCCACACACTGACGGCATGGCGCCTTTGCTCCCGACGCAGGGCGGTCGGCGCAGGCGCCAGTCTGGTTATCCGACGTACCATGAGCAGTGTTGTGAACATCAGCAGTCAACGGATTTGATGCGTGTGTATTTTGCTGAGTATGGGTATGGAATGGGAAGGGGGGGTCATTGGTCTTGGAACTGTGAAGGTCTACCTGCTGATCCAAGAGATCGCAAAGGGCATTCTTCGAGTCCGTCTCGGCCCCAGAATGGCTCAACGCTGGCCCCGACTCAGTTGTCTGGTGAGGGATGATTGTGCCGTCTGCTCCTGATACAGGCATAGAGTTGATCTTGCCCAGGTCAGTGATGCCAGCTAACATGGGAGCTGCGGGAGCTGAGGCAGCCGCGGGTGTCTCCTTTGCAGTCTCAGCGTGGTTCTCGGTCTCTGGTTGCATCTGATTCGGCGTACCTTGTTCTCCTGATACTTGCGCTTGATACACATGAGGTGACGGCATTGTTGACGGCATGGCTGACGGGACCGGTGGGGGGATATCAGCAATCGTTTTGTTGGTTCCGCTCATGCAACCAGGTGCAGATCCATCATTCTTGTCAATCCCGAGCATCGAAGGCGAAATATGTTCGGGAAGTGATTTAGGAGACACTGGTGGCGAGCACTGCGGTCCAGTATACGGTGCAGTCCAGAATGACTCGGAATGACAGGACCTCTCTGGTGTCGGCATGGAGCATCCTCTCATCGGGTCCACATCCGGTAAACGGGTCGTGGGCGAGTGATCGACCATCCCCGTGCTTCCCCGTCTTTCCGGCTGGGAGATCAGCTTGGCGGGCTCGGACGGCTGATTGTTGTTGATGGGGGCGGGTGGCTCCGCCGCCGGTGAGTCTGTGGTGGAATGTGGCGTGACCGGCTGATAGCCACCAATCTTTCTCTTCTTGACGGGATTGGAAGATACGAATTGGACGTCGTCGTCCTCTCGTTTCGCTGGTATCACAGGTTGTGGGTATGGTGCAAGCCCTGTTGGATAGACTGGGGGAAACATGCCCAGATAGTGGTGGGAGCTTTCCATATCGATGAGAGAGTGACAGTGATAGAGGGGAAAAGAGGGAGAGATGGGTGTGTCTTGCTGATGCGGGAGCGGGAGCGGATGCAACATCGATGAGATGGAGGAACGCCGCTAGCTGATAAGAAAACGGCCAAGCATCCATATTTGAACTCTGTGCCAACCAACAACGGCCTCTGCTGGGTACATGTTGGAATTGACGGGGGCAGGTGAGCACACCCAGTAACAGTGAGCCATGAACAGCAAAGAAGGAAGCCAAGAGAAGAGTGTTGGCATGTTGCACAGTTTGCCTTTGAGTCGTTTTCTTTGGTACGGTGGGATTCCAGCCTGGTGTGCCTGGCAAGAAGAAGAGGAAAATCACAACGTTTTGCGTACTGTGACAAGCACCTTGATGCAACTTTTCTCGGGTCCAGGATGCAGATTGCCACTTGGCAGGGAAGGCGGCATGAGGTGACCAAGTGAGTACGTTGACTATAAGGAGGTGTGCAGAGTTGCCAGTGTTCTCAGCAATGTGGCCCATCACCGAAAGACCTAGAGACTCCGGTTTTGAGTCTACCGCTTGTCTAAAGAGTTGCAAGCTCGGACAATGAAAGCGGCCGGGATGGTTCTGATCTGAGGCACTTGCTCCCTTGTCTAGTCATGGACTCATCTAGTGTCTTCATGGCCTTATCAAGGCAGGGGTCAATGGCGCTGATTGAAATAGGCTGCACATGACAAGACATCATCAAGCCTGGCCTACATAACAGTGTGATTTGCTTCAAATTGGGACGAACCTGAACAGAATACCGCATCGCAATGAAAAGTGCTCATTCGGTTTAAGAATGGTGTTGATGAAGAGGAGCATCTGAGTACACTGAGGTACAGAGCACCTCAGTTCATGAAACTGAGGTGAGTGAGCACCGTAGGCCCCACCATAGCTCCAAGCTACCCGCCTTGCTTTGATTGGCCATAGATTGGAACAGTCAGCATGTGGCTTGACTCCCTGCCTCAGCCTCTTGTCGTGTTAAGCTCCCGTTCAGTCTGTGGACCATGCCTTCCCCACATCGCGGGGCAGCCTCAAGGCAGCTTCACCTCCACCACAGACACCCTACCCGAGCAACATACTCCCCATCTGCAACTGCACCTGCAGCACCAACAGCAAGCGCCACGGCCTTCAAAACGTACACCAAGCAACAGGGCCTCGATTCAAATCGTCTCTCCTTTCGCCGTCTCATATGGTCTCAACAATCGAGTAGAAAATCCGATATCCTGTGGCGACGGCCAGAGAATCGTCAGCCATGGCTTCCTCCGACGTAAACCCGCTCATTTCGAACCAAAAGTCCTCGGAGCTTCAGGCAGTCCTCCATCCTTTGGTCCTCCTTACCATATCCGACTATATTACCCGTCATACTCTGCGGTCGCAGCAAGGACCCATTGTGGGCGCCCTTCTCGGCCAGCAGAATGGTCGCGAGATTACCGTCGAACATGCGTTTGATTGTCACACGATACCAAAACCAGAGGTAGAAGGAGGCTACCTTCTGGATACAGGGCGCTTCGGCGCAAGACTAGAGCAGAGTAAGCTCAGCTGTTCCTTATTTTCTATGCTTTCGTTGGACTGACACGCCCCAAGTGAAGACAGTACACAAGGACCGAAGCCTAGACCTGGTTGGCTGGTACACTCTGCTCGCAGTGACAGGTCCGACACCTACTGTCCTCCCGATCCACCACCAGCTCCTCTCCGAATTCAACGAGTCGGCCCTCCTCCTCGGTTTCCACCCCGAAGAAGTCTTTACTCATTCCGTGGGTGGCAAGCTGCCCATGACCATCTACGAATCCAACTATGAGGTCGACGACCCGAGAGCTGCCGAGGCGGAGGGCGAGGACAAGAAGATGGACGACGGGGAATCCAAGCTCAAGCTGCGCTTCCGCGAGCTGCCCTACACGGTCGAGACAGGCGAGGCTGAGATGATTAGCATGGACCATGTCGCGCGCGGTGCCGGCAACGCGACCGCCGTCGAGGCTCCAAAGGAGACTGCCAAGCCCAAGGTCCAGCTCGTTGAGTCGGGCAGTAAGCGCCGCGTCGTCGTTGCCGACAGCGCAGACGGGGACGACGCAGAGACTCAGCTGTCCCCAGAAGAGGAAGAGATGGTGGCCGCCCTCACGGCCAAGGCAAACGCCGTCAAGATGCTTCAGGGCCGCATCCGCCTCATCACAACCTACCTCGAACGCCTGCCGGCCGAACCCCTTGCCGGGGCGGAACAAACCGACGCCGCCTCCACCACCACAGACGCGCAAACTACGCCATCTCACACAATCCTCCGCCAGATCCAGGCCCTCGTGAACCGGCTAGATCTTGTCGTTCCCTCTGACGCGGAGGGCTTCGAAAAGGAGGTGCTCTGCGAGGAGAACGAGGTGGCCATTACGTCACGTCTCAACGACCTCATGCAGAGTATCAGTGGCATGCGCGACCTGGGCAAGAAGTTCAGCATCGCCGAGCTCGCACGTGTCAGGAACCGCGGCGGTGCGGCGGCGGCCGACTTTTCTAGCTTCGGTCCTTCTGGCTTCAACCTCCCGGGTGCGGGAGACATTATGATGTAGAAGTGGGGTTAACGATGCCTGATCAGCGGAGTGAAGAGTCTTTTTTGGCGGCGGTTGCGCGCATCATCAGCCTATCTGGGATTCATGGGGAGGCGTTCCGGGGATAATGTAGACATGACGACACTTGCGAGGGGCATAAATAGACCCCGAAAAAAATACAAAACTCCTTTGGTCCAGATACACCGTTGTCAGTGGGCTTCTTGAAGCATCATAGATCAATTCTCATGAGGCCCAAGTATTGATCCATGTACAGCCCCGGTTTGGAGGTGAATACTGCCTTGTTAACGGGATCATCCTGAGCCTCCCAGCGTTCAACTACAATCTCCGCCGCTGACACCTTCCCACATCCACGTCCCTTCCTTAGGTTCCTTGACTTCCCTCCCCCACGCATCCTAAGGGAACATATGCCCCCCTTCATTTCGATTCTCTTGCGTGACTTTTTTTTCTTTTCATATATGTCATAATATCATTCATCATCTTGAAATTGTCATGTTCTCCGTTTTTTATTCTCAGCCTGCAGACTACCTATGCTCTTACCTCTTTTTTTTTTTTTTTTTTTTTTTTTTTGTCCCAGTAAAGCCAAGGAAACGGAATAAACCCAAAAGCCCTCTGTACTCTCTAAGTAGGTATCAACTTCGTCATCATGACAACCTCATCAAACTATCCAACGCTTGCTTTCCATAAGAGAAGAAAAAGAAGTAGAAAGAAAGGAATCTATGGTACTATCTATAATCAAACCCGCATACTTGTAAACCCAGAACCCTCCCAAAAAGAGAATTTACGCAGCAAGAGAAAAAGGCGCTACATCTCAAGCCTCAATAACAACCTTGAGCACAAGCTTTCCCTCGTCATCAAACGTCCGACTCGCAAGCTCAAAAGCCTTTGACGCGTTCTGCAAACCCTTGAACCGGTGCGTAACCATATCATCTAAAGGCGGAAGCCCGCCGTTGCCCTTGGCGCAGAGAAGACGGACGCCCGTCGGGTAGGTATTTGCGTACCGGAAGATGCCCAGGATATCAATCTCCCGCAGGTGCGCGACGGACAGGGGCAGAGTCTGCACGGGGGTGCCCATGCCGACCATGATGACTTTCCCGCCGGGCCGCGTGGCGTATAGGCTGGTGTGCATGCAGACCTCCTTTCCGGTGCACTCGAACGTGACGTCGACGCCGTCGTCTTCGGCGTCCGAGTCGACGAGTTCTTCGGGGACCTTTGTGAGGGCCAGAATCTCGACGGCGAGCGATTTTGCGCCGTCAAATTTGCTCTGGACGCTCTGAACGGAGAAGATGCTCGCGGGGGTCATGACGCCCGGGTCGGCTGGCGTCGAGGTGCCCGAGTTGGTCTTGACGACGTGGCCGTGGGTGGCGAAGCCCTTTTCGACGGCGTAGTTGACGCGGCCGGCGTCGACGTCGGTGATTGTGACTTCGGAGCAGCCAGCTTGCCGCGCCATGGCGGCCGTCAGGAGCCCGACGGTCCCTGCGCCGATAACCAGGGCCGTCGAGCCGGGCTCTGGGGCGGCTCTGTTGACGGCGTGGATGGCGACGGAGAGCGGCTCGAGGAGGGCGGCCGCCTCATAGGAGACGTGGTCGGGGATCTTGTGGCACCACGCCGCCGGGTGGTTGATCCGTTCCTGGAGGGTTCCCTGGTAATGGGGCACGCTCTTTGCGCTGGACCGGAACTTCATCTTCTTGCAGAGGTTGTATCTGCCTTTGCGGCAGATAGTGCACTGCCCGCAGGGGACGCCGACCTCGAGAGCGACGCGGTCACCCAGCTTGAAGCCTGTGACCTGGGGCCCGATGGAGACAACCTCTCCCGAAGATTCGTGGCCTAGGGAGAGAGGATGACACGCGCAGAGGTCGCCGTTGGCGAACTTCTTGTAGTAGCTGACATCAGACCCACAGATACCGGTCCGCTTGATGGCGATCTGCAGCTCCCCGGCAGCCGGTTCTTCAATGCTCCTCGTCTCCTAAGGGGTACGAGTGTCGTTAGAATTAACATATCCAAGGCGGGGCGGCTTTTGACACATTCAGGTGTAGGGATGCAACAGGATCAACGTGGGGGGAGCCTTCGTGTGACGAACAAGCCCACATTCTCCACGTCACAATCCATGACCATGAACCCAAGAAGTTGAACTTACCAATCGCAAATCCCGAGGACCATACAAGACTGACGCAGTGACCGAACAAGACTTTGACTTGTAGACGGGTAGGTGCATTGGTGCCATCTCACCCGTTGCGACTGGGGCCATGATGGAAGCTGGATGACGCCGGCGGCGTGGGGTGAAGCGTGGGATGATGGGTTAGGGTGTCAAAGGGGGCTTGGCCTAACTTCCTAATAGGGAGGGCTCGATGAGTGGGATTGGCCCAAGTGCCGGATGAGGGGTGCCGACAACACAAAATATGCTGAAAAACACGAGGGCGAGGGTCCTGGGAATGAGGGACGGGAGGGGACCGGCGCGGGGTGTCTCGAGGACTGATAGGTTCGCTTTGGTATTTGGAGTTTGGGGGTAATGGGGGGGCCACAAGAGGATAGACAGGGTTATTTCGTGGGATGAAGATGTAAAGAACCCAAGCTACTATGATTCCCGTGCGAAGATGGAGGTGAGCAAAATAGGTTATCACTTGACAGAATGGAATGATAACCGAAAGAGCAGGAGACTCGAGATAAAGGGAATTACGAAGAAACTTTGGCGCGAGGGACCGTTGCTCCCCACCACCCCTTAAATAGGCTTGCGTGCTTTCCTGGCCCCCGGACACTCTCAACGTCCTGGTGAATGATGCTCATGGTGGTGTCAATCGGTGATAGACCAAGTTGCAAGGGGCTATCTTGGGTGAATGGGGAGACGGATGGACAACGGGCCATGAGCATACCTATCGAGGGTGACCATGATGGGGAGAGTTGGCCAAGTTTCGCCCAACCAAACATCGACCAGTTATCGGAGCCAAGCTAACAGCTTCGTACATGTAATCTCGGGAAATCATATGCAAGAGACATCAAGCGACGGAGCCACCTCAGCGTTCGGCAGCAGCACAAACCTTGGCCGGTATCGTACTGGCTTGCGAGACGAAGAGATGAAAGGAGTTAGGATAGGGAGGGATAGGGAATACCGGGCGGTAGTGTACATGGTTCGGCAAGGAACGAAGCACGTCGGGTCAGGACGTGTCCGCATTTGGGCAGCAGCTGTACGCACTGGGCGTGAAATCGTCGTGGCATTGGTTGACGATGCTGGACGGATGGAAAACGGGACGGCGGATGGAAGTAACTTTTCGCCTTTTGCGGTGACTAGGCAGGGCCCTGTTGAGCCACTTCCGAAACTCTCCAAGCATGGCACAGATGGAGGGGCTCAATGAGCAAATGGGGAACTAGCGGCTGGTGATGGGACGGCCTGGATGGCATCAGTGCGGTGACAGATATCGGCATGCATGGGGCTTCGACATGATAGTCATAGACGCAGTGCCTCGCCTGCATGTGTCGCAGGTTGCGGTGACAGGCTATACCTGTCTCGGGTCGTGATGCTAGTCAGAAGCCTGAAGGTAAAGGGAGCGAGTACGAAAGACATGACGATGGCGAATCGCGAGAGGGAAAAACATAGGTAGGTATTGCCTCTCTTTCTCTCTGTCTCTCGCTCTCTGTGGAACGGCCGCATGCGAGGACTGGGATATTGAGCCAAGTGGACAGTTAAGGTATGGTCAGTGAGGTACCCGGGAGTGAGGGCCCTGAACAGGATGGACGATGACAGGGGTCAATGGGAGGGGTAGGGAGGGGAGGGGAGAGCCGGGAGGGGGGGGGCAGTTGTTGCAACGGGGATGCATGGCTCTTGGTGGAGGGTAGGAAATGAGGAGGTGTGGTGAACAAGGAAGATGCCGTGGGCAAAACTACTCTGTCTGCGTCTGTATCCGTACCATGATCTTGCGTGCAAGGGTTCCGAGGGATAGATGGGACGGGACAATCGCGGATGAATTGCGACAGATGATGGACAATGAGCTCAAGATGAGGCGATGAATGCCCTGGTTGAATGTGCCAGAGTTGCAGGAAGAATGGATATGGAGATAGACGGTGAGAAAGAGGAGAACTCTGACTAGGGCAGGGTACTGAGAAACGACGTAGTTGGCTAGTCGAAGTTGGAGTTCCGCACGAGATTCGCAACGAAGCAACGATTCGTGGCCCTCATTGAATGCGTAGAATCCTCCCAGGGGGGTCCAGTCGGATACTCGGCCGTCGAAGGGTTGAGATTCTTTGTGGCCAATGGGGCGAGCTGTTCCATCAATATACGTTCAGTGCAATTTGATTGAGTAAAGAGGTAAGGTAAGGGCTAAGTGATTTGTCCATTTGGTGGTTAGAACTGAAGGAGAGCAGGCAGAATGTCGTAAACTTCAAGTTTGCATCGATAGGAGCAGAAAAAGGTGTGATCAAGTCCAAGATACTCTTTACATACGACGTAGCGAGGAAGTATTGCGGAGAAATCAAAAGATTGACTTTTTAGGTTTCCTTCTTGCCTCTCACGATCCTTGATTGCCTTTCTTCCAAGTTTCGCACTTTCTGTTTACTGTATAACTTAGGGAGGAGTGGTTTTTTTTTGGGTTGTAGGAAATGAAGGTTCGGATAAGGCACATTCATGATTTCCTTCAAATTACATAATCACGTAATAGTTCGGATGGCGGGGTGTCATGGTAGGTAGGGACCTTCCTTGTTTACTTACATCGTCTAGAGAGTACTCCATACGGAGTAGGTCTTTCCTTTCCTCTGCTGCACATAAACTGTGCCGCTCGACTTCATCCGTCCGTACTTCAACACCTTCGGTTCCCCTTGACGACACGTTTTGCCATTCTAACAAACCTCTCGTCTTGAAATGGAGCGAATTTGCATCTTTGGGACCTTGAACCTCTCTCCCTCCGCGGCCGCATACGCGCGGCGCTGCATGGTTGTTGCCGCCTGCATCCCATCGTCTTGGCTGAACCACCCTATCAACCAGCCGTCGGATACGTTCTAGAATTGGAGCCACCGCCCTACACCAGCTTCGGTGCTCAAGGCCGCCCATCCTTCGTCACTTTCTTGTGGCATATGCTGTACGGCACGGCAGAGCATCTATCTTGCCCTGTCCTGGCCGACGGTGGCGCACATCCCGTTCGTTCCGCGGAATGAGGACGCTATCGGTCGTTGGAGGCCATCGCCCGTCCCGAGCTAGCGAAGCGTCATGGTTCGATGTCGCGAACCATTTCCTACGTCGATCGCTTGAGATGACCAGCAACTTATCAGCTAGAGATACACTGCTAAGCGGCCTCTGTTGAACAACTGCTCTTTCTTGCCATGGAGACGGAAACATCACTCTTGCGCCTTGCTTACGGTCGAAGAAACCTACCGAACGCCAGGTCTCTTCACAGAGCTCATAACCTCACATTGAGCTGCGCACTCATTCCTGCACGTAAGGGCCCGCTGTGATGGTATGCCCTCCAGGTCCCTGGCCGCGGCGGCAAAGACCCCCCGGCGGATTCCTCTGAGGGGAGGGATATGGAACGAAAGCCCCATCTGTTGGACCCCGGCTCAGTTGATGGGGCCTTCAAGGGCCTTACCTACACCTATCCTTGCAACAATGATTCTTAGCAACAAACGACGGCACAAGAACACGATGCCGAGGCTCTAACCGGCCGAACCAGATCATGTCGGAAGCAATTCGTCCTCCAAGAAGTCAACGCTTCCTCGAACAGTTCCGTGCAAGGCCTTCTCATTGTGACGCCTTCGTGGCCAGAAATCATCCCTCGGACCTCAACTTCAGTTTGGCATATCTCCATCGATCAAAGCCTATGCAACAGCACATAGTGCAGGCACTGCGACTGTAGCACCTTTATTTGCTTTCTGCCAGCACTCAGGTCGGTCTTCGCCAACCTGGTCAAGTGGCTAGGTCCAAGTTCTCCAGAGAGCGTGGGCCGACGGATGGTATGCGGACACACTGCATGCGCACCTCCATTTTACCGGTCCTATAGCGAGGCGCTGCGCATGGCTGGCCCTGACCCCAGCCCTTGTAAGTCCTCGAAAGCCCACAGCTGCAACTCATGAATGGCCGTACCTTATCCTGATCCGCAACTTCTGACGCATCCGCAGTCGGCATGCAAAACCCTGCCCGGATTTCTGCTATTGCACTCATTTGTCAAGTCAGACTAAGGATACAGACTGCGGCCTTCTAACTTGCTCACGCTATATTGCCCTAACAGCGAAGCATCTGCAAAACAAGAGCTGGCATGTCACAATTTTCCGACAATGTAGGTGGCAATGCCGCCTATTTTGATATGGCGTAGTAATTGAAGCACAGTGCCTGGCTAAGCCTCGCCTGGCCAAAAACTCATGGGTGCTGGATAAAGTCGTTTGAAGCCGATCGATTCGAGCTCAATGCCGCTCGTACACATTTCCGTACACGGACGCGGAAACTGCCCATCCTGATGGCAAGGACCAGTGTGAGATATCAATGTCATCTTTTGCGCTTCGCAAGCTCAGAGACACATTCAAGAGCTGATCACCCGGTTACTGTTTCTGTCGATAGAACCAGCATGTACGGCGCCCGCATCTCTGATGCGCGCAAGATGTTTGAAGAAACACCCACTACTCTACTCAACCCCAAACGAGTGATCTCCAAGTGCACTATTACACGGAGAGCCTGAGCCGACAACGCAACCCTCAACACGGCAAGATCTACTCCTCTGCCGTTAGACAGATGCGGAATGAATCAGGAGCTGGTTTGCCTGACGACTCAGTCAGTGCTTAGTATTGAAAGAGTCAAGAATCTCGCGTATCCGCAACCGCAAGCTGCTTGGATATCACATTCAATGGCAACCAGCAGATACTCAGTCCCAAACAAAAATTGGAGACGATTTTCCAATTTGGAGAAACCCTGCATGCTCACGCAATCGGAACGCATGGCATCACCCAGGGCCCATGCAAAGGAGTGTCGAGTGGAGCTCTTCGTCATGTCTACCTGAAGAGAAGCCATGCGCGAGGCCTTACCTGGGTTTATGTGATACTGATGAGCATGCCGTCCCCTTATCGGTATGCGAAAGGAGTAAAGGGACGCCCGTCACGTCATCCTATAGGAGGGTGTTTGTTTAATGATGTCGCCGAAGACGAGCGTGAGCAGGTCCTAGGACGAATGTCTCGTCAGGTCTCTGATATCACCAGCGACAGCAGCGACAACAAGCAGCACGGTTCACGGAATTGTTGTCCGGTCTACCAATGAACGGTGTTGACACATCTGGAGCCAAGATTCTTTCCTTTTTAGCTGCAGGGAATTGAAGCCATTGCAGTACTGACGACGAAGGCCACTTTCCAGCGGAGCCTGAAATCATTCCATCACTGGCGATTTTCTCCAGACTTCGGACTTCAGCTCCAAGGCAGATGTTTAGCTATTGACACCTGCCGAAGTAGTTGCCGAGTAATGAACTTGTGTCCTGACGGCTATTGACCTTGATGGAACTTTTCCATCCCAAAAGCCGGATGGGACGATTGGGGAAGCATAGCACGATGCGACCTCACTAGGCCACGGGCTCTCCGCAGGTACATCGTCTGCCTAGGCATGTCAGCGAGTGTATCTACCGGATCTCTGGAATCGAGTAAAACACTTCTCGCATCGCTGACGGAAATGCGAGATGAATTAGAAAGAGAAAACTGGCTGACGCATCCGTTCCAGAAACCGACGCTGACAGCGTCTGCTAGGCCACTCGAACTTGCGAAGTACTTGAGTGAAGAGAAGAGTCTAGCCAGGCTGACAACGCGGAAACGAGGGCTGAGAAGTACCGGCAACAGCATGAGCTAAAAAGCAATATGTGTTCCGATCAGCTGCATTCAGCTTCCTCGGCATGCTTTTAAAGTTCCAACGGCCAACGACGTTGCATGGGATACGGCGATGACACGACACATTCAAGACATTTCTCAGACCGCTGGAAAGGGCTTCATCAGCCAATCCAGGGCCTTCGATGCCAGACGGTGGGTGATTCGCTCGCTGAGAAGCAATTGTCAGAAAAGAGACACAAGCAAAATTTCTTGTATCAAAGGTCGTGGATGGTGCGAGGAAGAGGGGAGCAAAAAAAAATTAAAAAATTCCAATAGGCGTCCGGGTGCGGTGCCAGTACCTACCTTTGAACAGAACACCATCAAATCGAAGACATCTTACCTGCAGCCACCGCCTCAGTCGTCGCTCAATTACCTTATACCAACGAACGACATGTGAATCTTGCCCCCTTTCCCCAGTGTGAAGCTAGCATGTGCATTTCAGTCATTATGGCGCCCACCAAGCAGCTGCGAATATACCTGCTCCTCGGCCGTACTATAATAGAAACTCTCCTACACCCACACTACATATACGCATCCGCATCCCGCATCCGCGTAACTCACCGGTCGTATAATATAGCCTGCCTTCCATACCTTGACTCACACCTCACCGCCAATCGACCAAACCCAAGCCAAGCCAAGTCAACAGACGGCAAACGTCCATCCTTCGGACAATGGGCAGGCAAAATTATCAACTTCCCGAAGCCGAAACCGGAGTGAGTTGGATTTGATCATTGAGTCAGTGGGTGAGGGGGATGGAGGAATGGAGGAGGAGGGGGGGGGGGGGGGACACGACATCTGCCGTGCATGTCCCATGTCATATACTATTGTATACCATGTGCCTTCACTGCAACCGCTACGAGATGGATACCGACGATGCAGTAGTGAGCGAGAGGGAGATATCGCATGTTAGCGCAACACCCGGCGCATTTCCTTAGGATGTCTGTTATTACGTGAATGGCTGCCAAAAGAAAAAAAAAAAAAAACAGTGCCCACCATTATTTTTGTTGCTCTTGCTTTGCTTTCGCGTCATAGTCAAGGGGATTTTTTCTCTCCCTCCTTCCCTCCAGCCTGCCTGCCTGCCTTCAGGCAGAGTCACGTTTCACCGCCTACCGCCACCGGCACACGCACGCCGAGTCATCCATTCAGAATCTCCGTCGTGACGCTGCATCCTGTCAGAGTCATCGCCAAAGACCACCTCAACAAGACCTCCCTCTTTTTTTGATATTGTCTCTCACAAACAGTAGGCGAGTCAAGTTCACACACCGGATGCAAACCATACATGTTCAAGTGCAGAGAGAAGCCGAAGCTAGGAAAAAAAAAAAGCAAGGCTCATACTTTGGGAATCTATGTGTATGGGAGCATAAACAGGACGGATACAACATTACACATCATACGAGCTTTTTTGGGAGAAAGAAAAATGCCTGCCCCGAAGCCCTGCCTCCATACAAAAAGGTCTCGGTCCAAGAATTTCCCCCCTTACTCACTCCCTCCCTTCCCCCCCCCCCCCTCCGAGGAGCGGCTTCGCGCGTTCACCCGCACCTCACAAACAAAGGTCGACTCGATCAGAAAGTGCTGGTCGCCAATCGGCTCGCCGCGTTTCTCGCATCCACTCGGTCCTCATCGTCCTCCTCTGCCACACCGGACAAGCTAGCCCGGCCGCCCGCTGCGCCGAGGCCCTTGTTCTGCCCCGCACCCTGGCCGTCGTCGCCCTCACCGTCCTCGGGGACGCCCATAAGACTGCCAGACACGCTGCGGTTGAGCGTGTCGGTGCGTCGTGGAACACCGCTCCATGCATCACCCTTGGGACCTTGGCTGGCTGCCACGCTGGCCCTTCTGACGGGAGGGTGAGCCTCGCGTCCGAGTCGACTCAGACCGCCAGATGCGTCAATGGCGCGGATGTCTGGTCTCACGCTCTCGAGGACGGCGAGAGCACGTCGCTCCGCCTCAATCTCGCGAATGACATATTCTCTGATGCTGAGCCGAAGATCCGCTGCAGTTCTCGCGAACCACTTTCGACGCTCCTGTACGAGATTTTGCGTGACACGAGTCGTCTTTTGGTAGAGGTAGGTCTCGTTTTGGCGGGCGTCATCGAGGGCTGTAATGGCCTCATCGACCTTCTCGCGTCTTACATTGGAGCTCGCCTTCAGACGATCGGCGGCATTGAGCTTGCTACGTGTGTTCTCCTGTGCCTGGAGGAATTCGCGAATGAGGATTTGGCGGTTTGTGAGTGACTCTTTGACCACGAACGAGTCTTGGGAGTGATACTGGAAAGGATCACCGATGGTGGTGGCTTCTGCAGTAGCTTGCGCAGCGTGATAGTCACCGACGGTTTGTACGATCTTGCCCAGCTTACGATAGGCATTGGCGAGACCCTGATGGGGCTCTTGGATATGCATGGAGCCGAGCTTGACGCCAAAGTCGGATTCAGCCAATCCCAGACCTAGATAATATCAGACCTGCAAATGCCCGCGCGTTATTGGGAAGGATTGACGTAGACTTACCTCGACGAGACTTGACGAGCTTATCGACCTTGTGGCCGGCATCCATGGTTCCAAGGTAGAAGAGCTTCACAATCGGACGAGCCTCCTGGAGCTCCGGAGTGTCGTCCGGCGGGGGAGCAAACTGCTTCAGAATCTTTCTGCGCACACCCGTCGCCGGCTGCTTCATCTTCACCATGGGGCTGTACCCGAAATCGCTCTCAACGAAGAGGACCATCTCATCGTCCCTCATAAGGACTTCGTTGCTGCACACGTAGTTGAACCATCGTTGTAATAAGGCCTTGACGCGGGCTTCGTCCTCGTCCGTGCCAGCACCGGCCGAAGTCACGGCGGGCGGTACGGTAGGTACCAGACATTCGGGGTTCGCAGAAATCAGGTGCTCCGCAAGCTTGACGAATTCGGAATGAAAGCGGCGTACATCGCGATACTGAGTGGTGCGGAATCTCGGAAGGTTGGTCTACGGCGTGTTAGACAATCATCTTCCACCACATGGCAGCAGCCAAAGGGGAGAGGGGATGATCCTTACGTGAACATCGAACCGCAAGATGGGGTCCTTCTTCCCGGTGCGCTCGAGACCGGTGATCTTGGCCTGTAGCCTGAACTGAGGCTGTTGAGGCTTGCGCGGCTGTTGCTGAGCCTGACCGCCCGCGACCGCGGGGCCACCTTGTTCTTGCGACTTTTGAGGCAGCTCAGGTCCCGGACCATCGCCGCTGGAGCGGGCTTCTGAGCCTATTTCGGTCCTCGACTCCTGTGTTTCCACCTCGGTGGTCGACTGGGTGCTGCTTGCGGTGTCTGGCCGTCTGTATTGCTGTTCGCCGCCAAAGCCCTCCTGATGGTCCTGCGGGGTTGCGTTGCCGGGGCTCGGTGAGTAGTTGAAGGGGGATCCTGCCGGGTCGCCGCCGAGGTCAGCACCAAGAGACGAGAAGTTGGTCTGGTTGGCCCGGGGTGAAGAGCCTGGGGAGTTTCCCCAGGGCGATGCGCCGCTCTCTTCGTGGATAGAGGCGCTGTAGTCCATGATCACGGCGCTGTACTAGTCGTCGTTGTTCGTCGTCTGCAGAGAGGTGCGATCGATGATGTCGTCGGGTTGCGTGGACGGATCACGACTGGCCGACAAAGCCGATGCGGGGAAGAGGGAACGGGTGTAGATGGTTATTTGGGGATTCGGCACATGAGCCCATCCATTGACCAGTGTCGAAAGGTAACAGTCCTCGTCGTGGGCCGGAGAATAGTGGTCCGGAGGTGTAGACGATGGTCCGTATAATCGCTCTCGTGTCGTTCGCAAGCTGAGGCGGGATGCGAGCGTGATGTCCAGACGGCCAGGGGACCTTTTCTCCACGCAGCTGCCTTGAATTGGCTCGTAACCACCTCAGTTCAAAGCCTCAGGTACGCCAGAGAGCCAGAGAGCCTACCCAAAGCCCCGAAGCAGCGAAGTCCCACTAATCCTCCGCTTTGGCTTAGCGTCCCCACGTCCTCTGGTCGCAACCTGGAAGAAGCTCGGGCCAGTCAGCCTACCCAAGCACCTTAGTAAGGTGCGCCTCCAGTTGTTTCCGGCCGGGTTCTGTCTCTCGCCTTGGGAAAAGTGACGACACACGCGCAGCAGACATCGCGCCTAACTTTCCCTTGACAGCTTTCAGCTTTGACCAATAGGAACACTGGAATCGCAGCGACCTCGAAACTTCAATACTCTTTTCCAGCCTTGCGACGACAGATATTTGACGATTTATACCGTTACAAGGTGCAAAGACCACCAAGACGACGGCATACCAGGGGCGCAAACCATGGCGCATATGATCAACACCCTGGCCACGGCCGAGCAGCTCTACAAGCGCAATTCCTTCAGCTCACTACCAGCCGACCTCCAGGATGTCATATTCTATGCGACGCAGTGCCTAACACAGGCCGCCGGTGTTCTGCTCGACTTGCCGCAATCGACAACGGCACAGGCAAATGTCTTACTGGCGCGATACTGGCTCGTCGAGTCGCCAATGGCAGGAGAATTCAGCGTGAGTCGCAAGCAACCAGTCCATACATCATCCTGAGTTCCACTAACAAGCCTCTTCTCAGGACGTCTCCGCCGCAGCCCTCTACCTAGTCGCCAAAATGGGACCCGTCCCACGCTCAACCCGAGACGTCTCAAACGTGTACGCCTACCTCCTCTCCCCAGCCTCCACCCTCTTCCGCGGCGAACCACCAGACGACAACGACCCGAAGAAGAAGCGGCCCCGCCCGGACCCGACGACGTACTACCAAACGGAAGGCGAGTACGCCGCCTTCCAGACGCGGATGCTGGCCGCCGAGGCGCGGATCCTCTGGGCCCTGGGCTTCGACACGGCCCTGGCGCTGCCGCACGCGCTGGCGGTGACGTACCTCCAGGCGCTCGACTTCCTCGGGAAGCCGAGGGCGGAGGTGGCGGGCAGGGTGGTCGCGCACCTCAACACGGCGCTGCTGAGCCCGCAGATGCTGTACCTGACGCACCAGCCCAACGCGCTCGCGACAGCGGCGGTGTATATTGCCGCTCGGGAGGCCGGGGCCAAGATGCCCGAGGTGGCGTGGTGGGAGGTGTTCGATGTCGAGAGGGAGGAGCTTGGATTCCTGGTTGTGGGGATGAGGAGTCTTGAGGGGTGGGTTAGGGGGGTGAAAGAGACTGGGATGCTTGCTGGTGGTATGATTACCAGAGTTGGGATCGAGAGGGAGGCTAGGCGGAGGGCTGGTGAAGGGGATGAGGAAGATGAGATCATGGCGCTCATGGATCAGAAGGCGGCATAGAACGGTGATGAATTTCTGGCGGCTTTGAGGATAGAAGATTGATACCCAAACAAAAACCTGACTTACTATGTCACCCCCTGATCTATATTGTATCTTGCATCATCTCCAGCGTAACTTTAGAGTCCTTAAGAGAAAGTAATATCGCCGCACGAAAGTAGTAGCTTTGCCCCTTTACGCTCTGGTCAGGGGAGGAGTTGAGGCTGCTAGTTGATATCATGCTTGTCTTGAGAAGTCTGACAAGTGAACAATGCAAAGTGGCAACTCGATCTATTCAAGCCATGAAAAGCCGTAAGTACTGTAGCTCTAATGGTGTTGTCAAGACTACTAGCAATGTGTACGTTCCTGTCATATAATTCAACCGCATGCTCTTCGAATGGCAGCACCCTGAGGTGAGGGTCGCGGTCCCGTGTCCACACGTATATTCATCCCACAATACACCGTGAACCAAAGGCACCCTCTACTCCGTTTCGGTCTGTATGCCTAAGGTACCTACCTACCTACCTTACACGAAGGGTACTTGGGACTCTTTTCATCTCTACCCATCATCAATAGAAGCGATCTGGGATACTTGGCCGAGGGGCTAAGGGGGCGCCAGTGGAACCCGTTCTTCCGAAGTCAAGTCGAACGATCGCTTAACCTTTTGTTCGATTCCCTATTATGGAGTCCTTTTTTCTTCTTTTCTCCCCTTCCAGTAATATTAGACGTCCTACTAGGTCAATTGATGCAGGACAAAGTGGCTGGGTGATGGACTACCTCGTCTTCGATCAACAACAATTACCCCCTACAGCCTTACTCGATAGGCTACGAAATCGAGTACGTAGGATCCCAGCATGATCATCACGATAATCGCCGAGAGATGTAGCCATGCCGGTGATGGATTCTTGGGATGTCTTTTCTTTTCTTCTTTTCTTTACCTCTTCTGAGCGGACTTCTTTTATCATCTGAAACATCTATACATTGCTTCCACGGTCTGCAGGCTCCTAGATCAACGAACCTGTCGGATTGTCTCAAGCCTATGAATTACCGGAAAGATATTCAGATGGCTTGGATAGAGAAGAGAGGCTACGACACGAGGAGGTTGACGCAGCATCTTCCCTTTTGCCCACCTGCCTGCCACTCGACTACCTTTTATCTCCAGGTTGGTGTCACAATGAAGACATCTCTCATTTGGTCAAGGGAAGGCATTCAAGATACGATCTCGGGAGGCAATTAGTGTTAAGCCTAGATGTATCTGCGAGCAAAAGCTCAAACGTTCTAACCTAGGGGCACCCGCCACACGTCACATGACTCTAGAAACTTGAATATTTTCACAGCCCGCCCTTTTTCCAAGAATCAAACTTCATTTTTCCTACCTTTCGTCCTCTCAGCTTTCACCCCTTCATCTCTCACCTCATCCACATCAATCTTCCCTCGCTCACTCATACACACACATACACACACACACACACACACACACACACACACACACACACACACACACACACACACACACACACACACACACACACACACACACACACACACATCCTCACTTATCCCTTCTCATCAATAACTCTCTCAATCCTTAATCCCCCTATTCTCAACCAACTCAACAAATTCAAGACAGAAACCCCGGACTTCACCTCCACGCCCTCTTCACAATAACCATCATCATCAAAACCTCACCCAAAACCCCTCACCCAATCCATTGACCAGCGCTCCGTCATCACCGACTTCATCAAGGGAGGGCAAGCAAAAATCTTCACCGGCCCCGTACAGCTACAAATATGCTACTGCATCTAGTTCTCGCACACATTGTCCTGCTCGTCTGTATCTACACGATTCTCGCATACCAGGTCAACGAATCCATAGTCTCGCACAAAGCCACGCAGATCCGAACGGTGATATTGAACTTACGGAGAAGCGTATTGAGAAGACTAAAAAATGATCAGTAAATCTCCTCTCACCTCTTCCCTTTCATCCTCGCTTTGGAGTTTGTCGTTAGTCCCTGTTGGCCTTCTCATCCAAGAAGAAATCATCAACCTCCTTTGGTCTAGTTCATGCTCTTATCTACATCGTGTCTTTGGTGAACCAAGCCGGTCTTCCATCCCTTTGACTTGTCCGTATCAACTTGACCAGAGCAGGATACTTCATGGAAATGGGGGGAAAATACAGAAGCCAACATTGAACCCCTTAAACCGGGAACCTACATCACAACAACACTCACAACCCTCAACGCATCAGACAACCCTCCTCCCAGCCTGGCAAACCTCTCTCTCGTCATCACGTAAGCCCGCGCCCACAACCACTACCACCTCTCCGACGACATCTCCCTCGCCTCCCTCACAGAGCACAGGACCGCATCACAACCTACCTCTCCGCCTCCTTCTCCCCCACCATCACCGCCTCCCCCTTCCCTTACCCGAAACGCCTACCACTCCCTCCACGTCGAAAACGCTTACCACTCACCTCGGCGAGGGAGCCTACAACGACATGTGGGACGCAGCCTACCTCCTCAGCCAAAACGATGTCGACGTCCCTCGACGTCCCGCGAGCTCAACGACGAGCTGAGGCGCGCCGTCGTAAGGTCAGAAGAGGTAACTAATCAGGCGCATCCTACCTTATAAAGTAAGGACTCTTCCGGAGGAGTATCATGTGTTTGCGCCGGGGCTATCGTACCGGGATTGATGAGCATTGTTCGGGTAGCATATGAGAGAGAGAGAGAGAGAGAGAGAGAGAGAGAGAGCTCGGCTTTTCGATATCAAGATGAAGAAAGGTTTCTGGAGAGACGATCTTGACTTGGAAGAGAGCACCCGGAAACGGAATACTGACTTGGACGGATGGATGGGGATTGCCATCGGAAGCCAACATGGCATAATAGCAAAGTTTACACAAGTCTCACAATTGACTGGCCTATGATATGAACATGGCAAGGGGAAATGTAAGCCCGCCCAATGATGCTTAAAAAAAGAGGTCGCGCTACTTTACGCTATGGGTAAATTGGGACAACCTGAAGATATGTCTTCCTTGCCCCCCAATGACCCGTTTCCGTACCATATTGCGCCAGGCCTTGATTCCCTTTAGTGCCGGGTATTGCCCAGATGAACCCATCCAAGTAAGTGAAACCAATGAACGCCGTTTCGTCTGCTACATATTCTTTCCAGGCCCACAGCTCTTCCACCACATTTTTTTAACCCCGTCTCTCTCTCTCCTGCTCTCCGTTGTCAACTCTCTTCCTGAACCTTCAAAGGCCTCATTCATAGCCTTCCGGCCATGACTTCCTTCTTGAAAATACGGACGTCCCAAACATCATAAAAATGGACGCCTTCAACGGTTTCCAGCTTGGTGTTCGCAACGATATCGGTGTCTTCGTCGTCGCTGTCGCTATCCGTCTCCCACCCCGGCATAGGCAGCGGTGGGAAGCCACTCGGGGCACCTGAGCCAGTAGAGGTGCCCGGGCCACCAAAGGCGCCAAAAGCAGAGCCAGTAGGCTTGCTCTTGCCCTTCTTGTTTCTCTTCTCTTCGGCTTTGGCAGCCGGTGTCTGCGGTGGCGGGCGGATGATGCGCTCAACCCGATCATCGTCGATCGAGATCCATTCGAGCTTCAGGTGGGGGTGGTGGCTCAGGTTATCGACGAGGAACTTCCGGGTCTCGCGCATCACCCAGACGCAGGTATCATCGTTTCTGAACGAGATGACGTTCAGAGCTCGAAGGTTGACCAACCCTCCGAGGTGCTGCATGAAAGTGTGCTAGGAGATTGGTTAGTTTTGAACACGCACAACATCTCCGACAACTTACCATAGCGCGAATGCCAAGCGAGGCCGCAAGCTCTTCGAGTTGCTTCCCGCGGTTGCAAATGAGCAGCATGGCCTTCTCATCCAGATCCCAGCTCATTTGAGAATCGTTCTTGATCATCAGTCGAGTTAGGGTCGGCATGTGCTTCTTGAGAACTAGACGGCGGATCTGGTCCATGACGACATTGGTCTTGGGCGCGAAGCTCTCAGGCTTGTATTTGAACGACCGCTCAAGCATGAACAACTCCGTGATCTGCTCCAATTGTGATGCGAATGTCAGGAAAGACATGGAAACGTTATCTGTGAAGATTTTGCGCAAGGGGAGCGGCTGTGCCTTGTTTTCCTTGGTCAACATGGTCCAAATGGGAGCTTGATTGCCGACATTTAGCAACGTCAGCCTCTTCAACACTCTAACGTCAATGGCTGCCTTGAACACAGAGGCCTTGACTGGGATGAGGTGAACACTGAAGGATCGCAGGGCGACACCTCTGGTCGAACGGATATACTCGCTGATTCTCTCGTCCTCGCCATGTGCTGTCGTGGCTATGCCGTTGACTTGCTTCTCCACTTCACGAATCTCGGCTTCGGTTGCATTCAACTCGGATCGAACGTTTTCGATATCGCGGTAAAATCCCTGCAACTGATTCTCGGCATATCGAATATGGTCCCGGTCGAAAGCACTAGTCGTGTTTCGCAGATCCTCAAGTTTCTCCTGGAGACTTGTAGCTTCGGATAACAGGTGCTGTAGACGAACAACCAGCGTTTCAAAGTTCGCCTTTTGAGTTTCCAATGCGGCCTTTGCTCGTACCGTGGTAGGCGACGCAGGTTCTTGGGTTGACGAACTTGTCTCAGGCGCAACAGCCTGAACCCGTTCAATCGCCTCAGCCTCGTCGGCAGCAATAGGTTCTTCCACGTTGATATCCTCGGGGTTGGAATCGGCTGCCGGAGTCGTCTTGGTTTTGATGCTGGTATCTCCGCCGGTAGTAGAAGCGCTCGAACCCTCCACATTTGTAGCCGGCTGAGCGTTGGTTGTCGCGGCGGACGACGATCCTGCACCAGTGGAAGACCCCGCTTCAGCTGATGCCGTGTTGTCTTTGTCCTTCGTTGCCTCCGTCGCCGCTTTCGCCTCCTCTGCTTCTAGATACTTCCGGCTGGCTTTCTCGATCATCTCTAGGATCTCTTGCTTTGACCCATCATCCGTATCACCCTCAGCCACGCTCGCCATCA